TTAGGACTAGTTAGGAGGTAAACATATCAAAAGTCCCCGCCCGTAGCCCTTAAGCCGGGGGGGGGGGGGGGGGGGGGGGCTTGAAGGTCCCATTTTTAGGTTTTTCGCATATATCTCGAAAACTATGCATCCTAGCGACATGAGACTTTCACAAAAGTGAAAGCTGATTAAATTTGCTACAAGTCTTATTCAGTCAAATTTTTTGATATCTTGTATAGTTTTCGAGATATCCGCTCTTGAAAGTCTGTAATTATGGAAAAAAAATTTGTTCCCATTTTTGCTCTATTTGACCGGATAACTCTTCAACAATGCACCCAAAAAATAAATGCCGGCCGTAGGGTTGTAGAGCATTAAATTATCTTCAATAATAGAAACAATTGCCTTTTTTTTTTATTTAAGGACAAAATTGTTAGTGTAGTAGACGTATGGGGGCGGTACGGTGGGCACTAGGCCGCGTACTTAGCCCCCACGCGCGGGCCGTCCTGCGCACGTCTGTGGGGTCCTCGCGATACCCCGGGAGACCCCTGCCACGGAACCTCGGCAAGGCCGGGAGGCTGCTAGGTGCGGAGACGCGGAAGAATCCCTAAACGGGGATTCCGCGGCTTCGCACTAAGCAGCTTAGAGGGTGTTCGCAGGGTTTTTTAGCGGATATTATGCCGTATAGCGCCCGTAAGGGTTACGGAGTCCTCAGTAGGCAGCCACTGCTGGGGCTCGTAAGGCTTGCGGGAGCCAGGTGTGAGGTCCATAAGTAAAAAAGAAAGTAAATTAGTGTCATTGAGGAACTGTAATTATCTAATAATAATATCTGTAATAAGGATATCCGCTCTTGAAAATCTGTAATTATAGAAAAAAAAAATGCTTTACATTTATGCTCTATTTGACCGGATAACTCTCGGATAACTCTTTAACGATGCACCGATGTCTAAATAGCACACATGCTCATTTTAGAATATGTACTTGTTGGCCCACTGACCAGGTTCTTCACACAATCCAGAAAATAAGTTTAAAAAAACTGCAAGAGTTAACTACTTTATGCAAAAAAGGTTATTATAAATTAGATGATTATTTAAATGATAAGATTGTCTGGCGTTGTATTGGTCCAGCTCAACACAAAAAGTAGTATTAAGAATGATTAAAATTATAAAACTGGACTTTAAAAAAAATTGAGACGGTAGGGCCCTGTGCCTCTGGTTTTTTTCCGGTTCTCATTGGCTATACAGGTACGAATACGGCAGCAGTTTTCGATACAATTCACTATGACGTGCAAAAAGAGATTTGTAAAAAAATCCAATATAGTTAATTTCTTGCTCTTTTGGGGTGGGAAGGACCTTGATCCTCGTCTTCGTTTACATTTTCTTTGTCTGTGTCATTTTCTCCATCGGAACCCTGTAGGGAAACGGTCAGAGGATCCTCCTGTTCTTCTTCACCTTCGGAGTCAACTTGAGGGACCCCATTCAAGCAGTTCCCCTGGCAATTTTGGCACGCTGGGGAACAGGAACGCAGGACACCCCCTTTAGTCAATACGTCTACTACCCTTTTTTTTATACGCAGGCAAAAAATACTATTTACAGACGACGGCGCCTTTAAGAGGCACACCGCCGAACGGACCTCACACCTGGCTCCCGCAAGCCTTACGAGCCCCAGCAGTGGCTGCCCACTGAGGACCCCGTAACCCTTACGGGCGCTTTACGGCATAATATCCGCTAAAAAACCCTGCGAACACCCTCTAAGCTGCTTAGTGCGAAGCCGCGGAATCCCCGTTTAGGGATTCTTCCGCGTCTCCGCACCTAGCAGCCTCCCGGCCTTGCCGAGGTTCCGCGGCAGGGGTCTCCCGGGGTATCGCGAGGACCCCACAGACGTGCGCAGGACGGCCCGCGCGTGGGGGCTGAGTACGCGGCCTAGTGCCCACCGTACCGCCCCCATACGTCTACTACACTAACAATTTTGTCCTTAAATAAAAAAAAAAGGCAATTGTTTCTATTATTGAAGATAATTTAATGCTCTACAACCCTACGGCCGGCATTTATTTTTTGGGTGCATTGTTGAAGAGTTATCCGGTCAAATAGAGCAAAAATGGGAACAAATTTTTTTTCCATAATTACAGACTTTCAAGAGCGGATATCTCGAAAACTATACAAGATATCAAAAAATTTGACTGAATAAGACTTGTAGCAAATTTAATCAGCTTTCACTTTTGTGAAAGTCTCATGTCGCTAGGATGCATAGTTTTCGAGATATATGCGAAAAACCTAAAAATGGGACCTTCAAGCCCCCCCCCCCCCCCCTCCCCCCGGCTTAAGGGCTACGGGCGGGGACTTTTGATATGTTTACCTCCTAACTAGTCCTAACAAAGTCACGAAGTCAAAAATTGTGTTCTAAGCAATTCTCTCTATACCTGTTTTTGAGCATTCGTTGCCTGGACTACTCCTCTTTGGATTACATACTACACTTGTTTCCAGTTTTATAGCCCCTGAGCTATTTCTACTACTTAGTTTTTATGGCTTCCCAAATATGATGCTGGTCCAAACAGGCCTTATTATAGTCAACAAATACCATGTAGGTATAATGTTTATCCGTATTTGTGTGTTCCAGTTCTTCATTTTCTTATATTAAGTCTCTATATCTCGGTGTACTTTGAGGGCTTTCTTTATTCATTCAGGCTTGTTTATGTGTTTTTGTTTAATCTATTATTTTATTAAGTTTTATCCTGCAAATCCCCTGTTTAACTCAGACACTTTAATTATTAGAATGCATACTTTGGCATGGATTTTACATAGTTCTAAAGTCTAAATATGTTTTAGGGAACCTCATCTTAATGTTTAGTGGAGAGATTAATAATTATTTTCGGTACTCCATGGTGTATGGTGCCCTTACATAGGTTATGCAACAATATTGAAATTTTTCATTTTCTTTTTCAAAATATGTGGCCTTATTATTTAATTAAAAGAAATATATACTTAGTAAATGTATTTTTATACATTTATGAACTTCTTTAAATCATCATTATATTCTGATAATGAGAAAATGTAAAGGCAAATCGAGACCATGAGAAATAAGAAAAGTTTCAGAGAAGTGTATGGAGAGACTCACCAAACGAAGTGTTGAAAGACTGTCAATTAGCAATAGTTACACATGGCACTAAATACGTTGCTTACAATCAGCAATCAACATTAAACGAGCAGGCGATATATCTGGGAAGGATGAAAAGCGATTAAAGCTTTGAAAGAAGCTTTTGATATGGATTTGACTAACTGCAAAAGTAACCCTCGCGCATTTATTGAGATGGGTTGGTCTAAATCTGCGTAAGTTTGCATCAAACTCAACAGTTACTTTAAAGCAATTTAAGACAATGCCAATTGGTTAGGTAGGTATAGGTATCTCCAGAAAAGGATAGAGAACAAAATCATTAGAACGACATTGGAACAGCAAACAAGATATATTTTGAATTCCATATGAGTGTTAATGATGTTTTTCTTTGTATTCTAAAAGGGTGGCTATCGGCAATTATTTCTGCCATATGATATGCATGCAATCACTATAATTTGTTGTATAAGCTTGCAAAACAAGGGACTCTGTTCACCCTTTGTTAAATCTAACCTCACCCTATTACCTGTAGGGTACAGAGATTAAATTTCTGAAAGCGCTCTGATGTACAATCATCAATTGCAATTTTTTGTAACTTGATATTATGTGGACATTAATTCCAAGTAAAGCAATCGGTTATAAACTTTAACCAAGAAAAATAAAGCTCAAAATCGGTAGGTGAAATTTGTACTCACGTATTCGATACAGTCGATTGCTTGAAAATACTCATATATTTTTTTCGACAGGGAAATTTTTATAAATTTGTGTTGCGAATTTCTATCATTATAATTATTATCAATTTGCAACACCAATTTGTTTGGAATTGAATCGAATAATGCACTTGTATACCGAATGAGAGGAGTTCAATGGCGCAAGTGGTTAATCTATTTGTACTTTATAATTCTGCTTGTTATCGTTGTTCTTGTATAGATCTTGGATTTTATTTGTTAACTGTTATCTGTGCTGTCTTCTTCCCCTGTTTTAAACTTTCCTTAGTTTCTCATGTATTTCTTTAGTTTCTTAGGGAAAAGTTTCCGCGGCATTTTTTTATTTCGTTTTTTATTGTCAGAGGATTTAGATGAACAGTCTGTCCCGACCATGAAAAAAAAAAGTGGGTTTTCTCCATGGTCGGGACTACTACTATTATTATTATTAGATAAGTAACATTTAGATAGAATTTTATTATATTTTACTGTTTCCTTACGTAGATCCCTTTAGTGTATAAATCTCCATGCTACCCTGAAAGTGCAAGTACTAACAGGAAATATAACTGAGAAAATATAACTAGAAAAAATTCCACGCGGACCAGGCAGCAGACGGGACTCGAACCCGCACCCTTCGCAATTGTGGGTTTACCTATAATGCGAAGAGATGGCGCTGCCTTGCAGCTTAAGAATAGCTAGAAAGAATTTCGACGCGGTCCGTGAGGGCCGCGGTAGCATAATTGCTCAGTGCATTCGCCCGGATTGCGAAGGGTGCGGGTTCGAGTCCCGTCTGCTGCCTAGTCCGCGTGGAATTTTTTCTAGTTATATTTTCTTTAGATTTAAACATCAAGCAGTTACATGCTTTAAAAATAATAAAAATTATAACTATAATTGCTATTTCTTCTTTCAAATGTTTAATGCTTGTAAAAGTATTCATTTGACATTGTGGGTTTACCTATAATGCGAAGAGATGGCGCTGCCTTGGAGCTTAAGAATAGCTAGAAAGAATTTCGACGCGGTCCGTGAGGGCCGCGGTAGCATAATTGGTCAGTGCATTCGCCCGGATTGCGAAGGGTGCGGGTTCGAGTCCCGTCTGCTGCCTGGTCCGCGTGGAATTTTTTCTAGTTATATTTTCTTTAGATTTAAACATCAAGCAGTTACATGCTTTAAAAATAATAAAAATTATGAGAAAATAAATTTATATATTTACAGAGCATGTACGAGCCGCGGGGTCTGGAAAAATGGAGTGATAAAGTAATATCAACGGTGAGTTTCACTACTGTTTGAAAAATCTACTGTATTTACTATTTAGATTTCTAAGTGCACTCCTATATTTATCGTATATCTATTTATTCGGTTGCTATATCAAACAAAGTACCAAATATTATCATATGTTAGTTTAAAACCTATTCATTGGAGCCTTGGCTAGCGTATCTTCTACTGAGGCCAACCTTGGTAATAATAAGATTATTTAGGCCAATAATTAATTATTCAACCTTGTTGCATTTTTTTTAATTTTCTGCTGATACTCATCTACTAAATGAATTATTATTCATTTTCAACACAACAAATTAACATAACTGAAAAGTAAGCATGACTTAATTTTGTCCGTATATTACGGTATGAATAAATGTTGATATCAGTAATAAGAAACACACAAAAGAGGTTACATCAATAAATTAACTCTTCATTTAGTCCAATATAATACCATACGAATAAATTTTATCTAGGGATTAAAATATCAATTACGTGCATTTTTAATAGTTTTGTTAACGGAATCGTTTGTAGATGACCATCGCTTGTACTTTGCGTGAACACAACTGGGAAATGGTTTAAATCTTCAATTATTATGAACTTTCGGTATTTGTACCGAAAAATTATGCTGACCCGACCGTGTGAGATATGAAGTTGCGATGTGCATTGTCTACAGATGCGATTGGTATTAATGTACTGGTGAGGTGCGATTTCATAGTATACGCGCATGCGTTACCATACCACCAACATTGCTTGCATTGTTGACTGTGGCGTCAGGTAATAATACATTCAGTTAAGCGGCCTGATATATGTGTTACATACAACAGTATGTACTGCCGCGGCGTGAAGTAGTGGTCCTAGATTTTGAAACCACCATTTGCGAACCCATCGAGTGGTATTTTTTGATGTGTGTGACATCTTTCCTCTCGCTTTCCTGCAATTTGTGGGAGTGATGTCGTGAAGTGGGGGGAGGGGGGGGGGGAAGTATGTAACAGGAAGTCGCCAAAGCGCGCGCTATTTGATTTGATTTTAGAACATAATGTTCAAATGGCTTATTCCTTTTGTCGTAGGTTTTATTTCTTTTTATACCAATATAAGGTGAGGTTTTAAATGTTACACATCATACGCGACTACTGTAAAGCTCGCTCGTTTTTTTAATAGATACGTTGATATAATTTAAAGCAGAATTTTAGTGTACAGACATATATTTATGATTGACACTTTCAAAGCATATGGTAGCTAATATGTAAGAGACTTCAATCAACAATATGGTATGTAAGTATGATATTTTACTTTTGTTGATCAAAGTTAATAAATGAATTATCAATTACATAACAAGAAATAATTGATTTTAAATCATTATTATTAAAATGAAAAGTTCAGTTTCATTTAAATAATTTTAAAATCAATCGTTTCTTATTTATTTTCGGATTTTAAGCCGTTACGAAAGTAAAAGTTCGATTCCCGGAGATTTCTAATGACCATGTAAGTAATTAATTGAGCATCGTTGCATTTGAATGATAATTGTCTAATGAAGGTGTTGTTCAATAGTTTGTGGTGTGGTTATACTTAAAAGCAACAATGTGATATAAATATAACTAACGTTTCCAAGTATTGTTATGTTCTAATTGATAATTCATTTATTAACTTTGATCAACTGTAGATACTTACATACCATATTGTTAATCGAAGTCTCTTACATATAATGTAATATAATATAATATAATAACCTTTATTTCTCACCATAATCACAATGTTGGTATTAATGGCTACATAAAAACAATGATATAAAAAGCATGCATTTTTTTTTACCAAAAATAAAAGGTACGTATTGATCAGATTATGGTGGGTTGACACCTGAACTAGGATGAATCCTGCGTCTCAGGTAATCAACCCTCCACCCTATTCATAAAGTTGTGTACCATTTAGTAAACAATTTATTAATCCAGATAACTGTTCTTAAGTTATTAATTCAATGGAATAGCCAAAGGAGTTTGTTATGTGTGTGAGTGTGTGTATGTGTATATGTGTGTGGGTGTGAGTGTATGTGTGTGTGTGTGCATCTTATAATGTGTAACTTATTATTTTGAATATCGTTTCTGTATTTTTATAATCTAGCGTTTTTAAACTTTTTTGAAGTGCAGTTTTAAGATTATTTCTATTTAGTTTAATAATGCTGTTTAAATCATTGTAATATCTATATAAAAATGGACTTATGAAGTGTACTTGTCGTCTAGCAAACCCTGTTCTACAATTTGGGACAGGAGTACGAATGCGTCTTTTATTTAGGGGCAGCTGCGTAGGATCCATGGTTTTATGGTAGCGGAGAACCGAGTTGTATATAAACAACTGTCGAACAGTGAGAAGCCCAGTTTCCTCGTAGAGCTGTTTGGTTGGATATCTTCTAGGCTTACAGAACATAACTTTGATCACAGCTCTCTTGAGCCCTTTCTAATTCCAGGAGAAAAGAGGCAGCTGCTCCACCCCACACCGTAACACAGTATGTCAGAAGAGATTGGCAGAGGGCAAAATAAATTTTACGAATTAACTTGTGGTCGGCGGCATCTCTGAGGCTCCTAAAAATGGGAAGGAGTTTCCTTATCCTTTTGCTTATCGCTGTTTCGTTTCGCGGCACTTGTGGGTGCCAATTTAGCTTCTTGTCAACTATTACACCTAGATATTTGTGGTCATCTGTTTGCGTTAAGAGTTCACAATTGCAGTTAATTTCAAGGTCACACAAGGATGAATGGGCTTTAATAGTGAAGTGGATTGGTGGCTTAGTAGCCTCAGAGATTCTAAAACATACATATTTTGTTTTTTGTATATTAATTGTCAGCAGATTGTTATCCAGCCACTTTATGACTTTCCTTAATCCATTTTCAGCAGACCTTTCAACTAATGCCCAAGTTCTATTTTTGAAAATTAGCGCAGTATCGTCCGCGAACGCCAGAATATTGCCATTATCAAGTTTAAGGTTGCAGAGCTCATTGACGTAGGCTAGAAACAGTGTAGGGCCAAGAGTGCTTCCCTGGGGTATACCATACATTACTGGTGACTCAGAGCTGGAAACACTCCCCACTCGAACAACTTGGCTTCTGCCTGTGAGGTAGTCACAAAGCCATTCCAATACGGGCCCACGAATGCCCAAGTTTTCAAGCTTCGACAAGAGTATCGGTATGGAAACGGTATCGAACGCTTTTTTGAGATCTAGGAAGATGCCTACACATCGCTCGCCGTCGTCAAGTGTAATATGGAAACGGTATCTTGGCCACATTAAAACCGATAAACCTTAATTACAGTTGTTCGTTTCAGTTATGATTACTGCAAATCACATTCCATACATTCTAAAAACCGTTAATATTGGTCTTTCTAAGAGTCAATTGCACCTAAATTCTTTAATCGGATATGAGTATTTTTTATTGTTACTCATCACTCTTTCTCAACTCTTCTAGTTATTAAACATGAGATGAGGTCAAGACGTGATTCAATGTATATTTCATATTGGAACATTGGTGGGCTTTACGGTAATCACGCTGTGTGGTGCTGTGCTGTGCTATGCCCTGTTTAGTCAACAATGACGACATATAAATAACGTTCCCCGCTATTCTGTGCTATGCTATGCTCTATTAACCTATTAAGTCAACTAGCTCCTCTTAGATTACTTATAATATGGACAGAAACAATACTTTCTACGCTGCGATTTATGTGACTACGTTTTACTTCGACAATGCACTGAGATATAACGATTCAGTAAGTTGTTAGCGTCATAATATACACACGTTTTCACGCCACCTTCGAGGTAGTGTACTTAGCGCGTTTTTTTATCGTGGTTTCCCCAGTAGACCTATTCCACAAGTCTGCTGTAATTCTGTTTAATTGGAAACTATTGCATAATAACAGATAATTAGCAAGAGCTGAAAAAAAACAGAAAAAATTATATAATATATCTTCATTTACTTCTTCTTGTTGTTCTTCTTCTTCTTAATCCTGGGTGTAAGTGAATTGCGTCAGTAGCAATGTATCGAATGTCTTTGCGTTGGTAGCAAACAAATCCTCTACAGTTGATGATTCAACATTGGAACACAACTGGTCTTGACAATTCGTACATGCCAGAGAACAAAACAGTCCAACTTTTTTGCAACCACATTTAGCACTGCATCTCTTTTTACAGTTGCAAAAAATGGTGTTTTGCAGTTTTTCCGGCGCAGATAGGAGTAAAGTCTGAATTGGTTATAATGTATTGTCGACCAACTAAATAAGGGATATATATAAATAAAGATAAATAGATAAAAATTAAGGGAATTAGTTGCATTTTACCTGATATTCCCATAGTTAAACTCATATATATTTTATATTTTAAATGTAATTTACAATCACTGATAGAAATATATTTTTACTTATATATATTTAAAATATCATGTCTTTAATATACTTTCCCTCCGTATGACAATGCCGTGCGACGCCCTGTATACGTGACGTACTTATGCATTTTATGACGCTTACGACTTTTTAAATCGTTATCCTACCTAGGTAACACTGAAAATGTTTAGAAAATGAAAAACGGCTTAAAGTAGAAAGTTGCCAATACTTTTATTGTTTTTCGAAGTAATCTCCGTTCCTCTCTGCACCTCGTCGCATTCGATGGAACCAGTGAGAAAAGCAGTGGGCCCATTCTTCCTTAGGGGTCTCTTCTATGGCATTTTCTTACGCTTTTACCGCATCTTCAGGGCTCTTAAAGCGAACACCTCGAATTTTATCTTTAGTTCTTGAGAATAAATGAAAGTCGCTGGGCGCCAGGTCAGGACTGTATGACGGTTGACTTATTATCTCGACACCTGCCATAGTCAAATATTGAACAGTCCCTTTTGCGGTGTGCGCTGCAGCATTTTCGTGGTGAAGGATGATCCTGCTTCGAGGGCGCTGCTGTAGATTTTTTTTCCAAGACAATAGGCAAACAGCGATTGACATACCAGTCTGCAGTAACTTCCTTCCATCTTCTAGCACAACTGTTGTGAAATGACCTTTACGACCAAAGAATGAGGCAATCATCTTTTTTCCTTGACTTCTTCCTTTCTTTACCTTAGTTGGCCGATCCTCGAAAGGAAGCACCAACTGAGCTAATTCTCTATTGGTTTCGGGTTCGTAGCAACATATCCAGCTTTCATTACCTGTGACGATGTAAAATACAGCATTTGAGTCACCGCCGTTGAACTCATCTAACATTTGGCGACACCAGTCCATGCGAAGGTGTTTCTGGTCGTCGGTCATGGCGAATCCATTTGGTACAAAGCTTCCTGACACCTAAACGTTCGTGTAATATGTTTTGAACTTGACTCATACCAATGCATAGGCTTGCCCGTATCTGCTGATAGGTCACTCTCTTATCTTCCTCTATCATGCGTCGCACAGCTTAACAGCGACTACTGATGATGTTATCATCAGTAGTCGCTGTTAAAGGACGTCCCACACGAGGGTCATCATTGAGATTGCTACGTCCACGCTTAAACTCGTTAAACCAATTGTAAATAGTGGAACGAGATGGGGCTTCATTAAGAAATCTAATCGCAGCCTATCATAGCTTTGTTGTTGAGTAAGCCCACAACGGAAGTCATAATAAAACATTGACAAAAATTTCTCGCGTTAGGTTCATTTTCACGTGTAACAAGAGTTTCAGATTTACCGCCAATTCACAAAAACAAATGGCAAACGAATGCAATATACTACATTAGGTTACCAAAGAGTTCTAAAATTTAAATTCAATTAGGCGAAAAGACTGAACGTTAAAAAAAATATTATGTTACGGAAAGATGATTCATTCGTATAGCAGATGTAAATTGTAAAATTAATAAACAAATATACTCTAGTCACGCGAAAAAAACAATCACATAGTCTAAATTTTATACTCAAGAAATAAACTATGAGAAAATTACTTCATCTTCTTGGACTTAAGAATGTTTAGTGAAACTCTTCAATTGACAATCCTATTTGTAAAATTCAAATGTTTCAACCAACCATACCATTCGTTTAAAATTGCAAGATTTTAGAGGTAATTGTAGCCTTGTGTTTGCTTACCGTTTCAAATAAGATATACCATGGGCCTTGGAACCTTCATATTTTCTTGTGAATTTGATTTAGTATTAAGTGATTAAATTTCTATGGAAACTAAGCAGCCGACCGTACGTTAAACCAAAGTAAGATATAACAAAGTAAGTTAAGAAGTGGTAGTTCTTTAAGATAGAAACTTTGACGATGACGATACAAATACGGATCTGTCAAAGTTCGTGCTTGGGTACTGATGAAAATTTGCTGGCTAGCAGAGCAAACTAATAGAATACTTAAACAGTCACCTGGAAAGCAGAATGATGGGTTTAAAAATAAGAATTTTCAGATATTTCAAAGATTGTTTTGATTGCAGACAAACACCTTGTTCAACATCGGACTATACACGTCGCCGTTCATCTGTCTCTACGTGTACCGCCGGGGTTTCTTTTCCTCTGACGAAGCACGTTTTCTGATGCGCTGCTTCTGGGGGCTAGGCAGTCTGTTCGCATTCTGCTACATCGCTCGTGGCATCGGCCGCGCCGCTAATCCAAGATACGTCGCGTTCGCTAAAACTCTGGCCATGCCGTCCAGTGAAAGACGCAACTTCCTCGATAGTATTAGGCGGTACGACTTCGACTTCACGTACTGGCCAATAAGTTACAGCGTCAGTTCACCTTCTGCGTAAGTATCTAGATCTATTTGTAACCATCTAACTCTTATCAGTAATATCAAATATCGATGTTTTGTTTTCCGTTCGCAGTGTACCTTGGTACCGAAGACGTCCTTTCCAACATACAGCAAATCCTGACCTCCCAATGTACCAACGTGTTGGCATTCAGATTTTAGCTTACATCGCTACTCACACGTTTGGAATACGGCTAATCTACCCAGGCTCTCTAGCACTTATCAACCACCTACTTTGTGAGTAAAAATTGTACACTATAAACGAACTGGGTTCAGACTTTACGAGCAGCCTCCGAAATAAGAGCTTACTTGGAAGCAGATACGATGTTTAACTACAACCATACTTACAGCCAGCTCACTCTGATTTATTGCAAAATGCATCTCAATCTTCTTATATAGAAAAAATAGGAGGGACACTGAGTCCCGCATTGTGTTTTTAGAATGAATTACATTTTGGTTGCCCGAGCAACAGAATTTGGTTAGAGGCTGTTTGTTCAAACACAGAATTTAGATTTTATTAAGAAGTCGAGACCTAATTTAATTATTAACCAAAAAAAGAATGCTGTTTTACTTCATTGTTTATCAGAATAAGATGCAATATTTACCTACTTTAAAGTTGCTACCGATTTCTAATGGTAATGCTCTTAAAAAAAAATCTTACTTGCTTTTAGCGAACGAGCTGTTCAAAGGCAGAACTTATCTGGTAGAAAATTTTAATGGTATGCGTGCAAAGGTACAAACAGCAGACTTGAACACTATAGATACAATGTTTATCGACAACCGCTCTAAAAATCCGTTAAAAGGCAAGACTTTGGTGATTTGTTGCGAAGGCAACTCAGGTTTCTACGAGATAGGTATTATGACAACACCTGCCAAAGCGGGATATTCGGTGCTGGGATGGAACCATCCTGGATTTGCTGGAAGTACTGTGAGTGAAATATAAATATGCGTAACCATGTTATGGATTTCGTAATGTTCTGCATAACTATTTTAGTCATAAACTGCTAACTTTAGCTTTTATTTTATCATTGACTTGTCATAACTTTACCTCATAATATTAAAAGGAACTTAAATTTATACTAATTATTAAGATAATTCAAACTGTGTTGGCAAACTGGACATTCTGTAGTATCCCAAATTCGCTGTCAGTAAGATTAAGCAAATGAAATTATTATTGTATTTTGGTTAAATTGTTGAATAAGATAAATATTAAATATCCGTCTACGTTAAAATTGGACACGATGGTCTTATGGATGGAATTATTTTCTTATAGGGACGACCTTACCCTAGTCAAGAGCATAACGCCATTGATGCAATAATTCAGTACGCGGTCACGGAACTGAACTTCAAGCCTGAAGATATTGTGATGTATGGGTGGAGCATCGGCGGGTATACTGCCGCGTGGGCAGCCGTAAACTACCCCGCTGTAAAGGGCCTGGTAAGAAGTTTTACTATTTTCAATCCTCATAGTTTGCAATTTCTTTAGGACTACTCCAACTCAGATCGAATTATTATTTATTACATAGGTGTATAACGTTCTGACTCGTTGTGGAGCTTGATGGCGCAAGTGGTTAGCGCGTTCGGCTGCGATCGTTAAAGTTAAGCAACTTTCGCAGTGGTCGGTCATTGGATGGGTGACCAAAAATTTACTATCTCTCGCTCCTCCGTGCTTCGGAAGGCACGTAGACCGTTGTCCCGGCTGCATCTGCATTCGTTAGCACCCACCAATCCGCACTGGGCTCGCGTGGTGGGCCATGGCCCAAACTCCCTTTTCCACCCATAGGGAAGGCCTGTGCCCCAGCAGTGGGGACATTAATAAACTTATAATGATAACGTTCTATGCGTTTTGTCAGGTTTTGGACGCAACTTTCGACGATTTATTACCGCTGGCTGAGAACCAAATGCCAGCCTCGTGGTCTCTCCTGGTGAAGGAGGTGGTCCGATGCTATGTGGACCTGAATGTAGCCGAGTGGGTGATCAAGTACAACGGACCGGTGCAGCTCATACGCCGAACGGATGACGAAATCATTTGCCTCAGGTGAGGACTGAATCAACCTCTAATTCTTTTTTGAAATCTAAATATCGATCGACATGACGTACGAGTTTGTTTTATTGGTTGCTTTATGTCATGAATGCTATTGTTGATGCGAGCATAGATCCGTACAACTGTACCCGGGAATTATAAGTCTCATTTTAACAACATATTTTTTACCCCATTGATCCCTTATATTATACATCGCAAAAATATTATATAGCTTATGTCATACTAGTTTAGTTTAGGAAATCGTGAACAGATATAAAGTTAAACAATTGTTACCGTAACGGGGGCCCAATTGCTTTACTTTTAGTTTTCCGAATATAACGTGTGACTTGTATTGTAATATTGAAAACGAGTTCTGATTAATAAATGAATGTAAGTGACAACATTTTTTTTGTTACTCCGGGTGTTAGCTTGTCATATAAGTCGTCTCTCTTAAATAATTCTACTTGTCGCTGCATTCCGAAATGTCAGTTAAAAATATAAACCAAAGTGGGGTTAATTAAACAAAATTATTTTACCACCGAGAAGATAGTGACAGCAACTGCTGCTATAAGCAGATAAATCTCATAGAGCGGACGTTAATATGGGTATATATTTTTCACAGGCCCGGTCAACTGGCGAGCAACCGCGGTAACCATCTTCTAGTAAAAATAGTGGAACATCGACACCGTAGCATAAATTCCAACACTCGGGACGCTTTGTATAGACTTGTGTCCCTACAGGACCAGCAACGAGCTTCCTTAAACTATACCAGTGTTAACGAGCACGAGTTACGAGCTCTTCGGCTGGTAAGATACTGTACACACACAATAAACGATCTAATGGTCAATTCATACTAGCGCATAGTAGAAGCGTATCGAAGCGACCAATCAGAAACGTAACAAAGCAAATTTACACTTATCTCCGCAACGTACTTTGTTTGAGATTAATAAAAAGAATTCCGTCAAATTCGCGGGTCTGCGCGAGACCAACACTAATTATCAGCTCAGAAGGAATATGTGCTTTACGTTGCGGAGATAAGGGCGAATTTGATGCTTTGGTGCGCTTCCATTTTGCGCTATTATGGATTGACCATAAGTGTCATTCTAATAAAGTTCAATATTTTCGAAGGAACAGCATTGCACATCTTGCTATTTTCATTCGCTTCTGATGTCATTATTGGAAAAAAACTACGGGTTGCACTCCGGGAGTTCCGGCTGAAGTGAAAACTTGAATATTATCGTTGTGCATTTTTGATATTTTGGAATGGTTTGGGAATAATTTTGCACGAATAGGGATGATGACTAATTTTTTTTCTTCGTTTATCAGGTAGATTAGCAAAAAGTATTGGACACGTATTTTTTCTTTTTTCACATAATAGAAACATTGCAGAGATATATTGATTTGAAAAGTCGCATGACGTCAAGTTTGAGTACACTTATAAGTGAAAATTTACTCAAAAGTGACGTCACGAGCTCCTACTCATAAACTTTGACGCGCTATAACTTTGTCATTTTTTGGTTGATTGCCCAAAGAAAAAATACGTGTCCATTATTTTGTGATCATCTAACTGACGGACTAAATAGAATTTTATTTACTGTACCCCGTCATCACCCCAATTATCAGTGACATATATATAAACGAATTTTACGAATACACAGCAGTGTGGCCACTATACAAACGGTCGAGCCATCAGCTGTCACCATCCATGGATGCGCGTGGCACCCTGTAACATAAACACAATCAAACATTCGCGCAAGCGCCTTGCGCCGCCTAAACGAAACAGCAGGCGCAGGCATAAATTTTCGCCGCACCGTAGAAAGAGAGGGGGATACTACCTCTCCTACGCCGCGCCGGCTGTCTCCATCCGTCTTACGAATTTTCGATCAGATCACGTGTCCTGACGCGAGTTCAACATTTTTTACCCATTCAAATTCAAACTCATTTATTCAGTCTAGGCTGTTACAAGCTCTTGTGAAAGTCAAACGCTACGCCATCGGTTCGTAAATCTACGGCGGGAGACCTTGTACTGAGAAGAACCGGCAAGAAACTCAGCAAGGGCTATTTGTTTCTCCCTGTTTTGTTTCATACAGTGTCGTCAATTGAAAGATGACATCAAAAATTGAATACATGTGTTGATGTCAACTTCCATCACATTAATATTATTAATTAACAAAAGTTAAGTATAGCTAGGTACTATTTTTAAATTTAGAAGTGACAATTAAACAATTTTCAACCAAATTAGCAAAGTAAAACGACAGTCTATTATGTTAAGCCCAAGGTGACTTATCATTTATGAAATCTTTTACAGTATAGTAACCTTTCTTAAGGAGACATGTTTTTATACACACTCTAAACTTATTAAAAGGTAAATTAATTATTTCTTTTTGTATTTTATTATAGTAACATATACTTTGACCCACAAATGAACCAAGAACCTTTTGGAGTCTCAACGGTGGCAATTTGAGTTTATCTTTATTTCTGGTATTGGAATTATGTACATCATCGCGCCTCGTATATAAATTTATGTTCTGACGCACAAACAATAATTGTAAATGTATTGAGAGGCAACAGTCATTATACCTATTTCTTTAAATTTATCCCTAAGAGAAGTTCGAGATCCCAAGCAATAAATAGCTCTTATAGCTCGTTTTTGAAGAATAAAAACTGTTTCAATGTCAGCGGCCGTGCCCCATAATAGAATGCCATACGACATAATGCTGTGAAAGTAGCTAAAGTATATTGTCCTAGCAGTGTCGACATCTGTAAGCCGTCTTATTTTATAAATTGCATAAGCAGCAGAACTTAGTTTACCGGCTATTGTTGTAATGTGAGGGTTCCATTGAAGTTTGTGGTCTAGAGTTACGCCTAAGAAAACGGTTGTATCGTCTAAAATTAGTTTTTCGCCATTTAGAATTATATCCCCCATTTCAGCATGCTTTACATTCGGCAAAGTAAATTTCACACATTTAGTTTTGCTCGCATTCAGTTTAAGATTATTAGAAGAGAACCAGTGAAGTACCTTGGAAAGTGCATTGTTTACATCGTCATAATTTGTTTTACACCTGTCATCTGCAAACAAAACAATTTCACAAAAAAATTCTACAAATAAAGGTAAATCATTAATGTAAATTAAAAAAAGAAACGGACCTAAAATTGAACCCTGAGGAACGCCTATTTTCACATGAGATCCGGCTGATTTTGTACCGTTAATATCAACTATTTGTGTCCTTTCTGTTAAATATGATTGCACTAATTTTTGTGCGGAATCTTTTATGCCGTAATGATTTAATTTCCGTAACAAAGTTTGATGATTAACGCAATCAAAGGCTTTAGATAAATCGCAGAAAACCCCAAAAGCATTCTGCGACTTTTCCCAAGCATTAAATATATATTTTAGCATAGTGGCCCCAGCATCAGTCGTGGAACGGTTTTTAGTGAAACCGTACTGCGCTCTGTGTAAAAGTTTATTAATGTTAAAATGAGTCAACAATTGTTCTAACATTATTTTTTCAAAGATTTTACTCAATGCTGGTAATATAGATATTGGCCTATAGTTGCTAGGATCTTTACAATTTCCAGACTTAAATAAAGGTATGATTTTACTGAATTTCATAAGATCAGGGAATACTCCCTGATCTATACATGAATTAAAATTGATTGAAAAAATATCAGCTAGGTAAGGGGCTATAGAATGTATAATATTATTTATGACTTTGACAGATATACCCCATAAATCAGATGCATTTTTCATTTTTAAAGAATGGAAAACTTTAATTATTTTAAAAGAACTAACGTGCTTGAAATTAAATAATAAACCACACGGAGGTACATATTTTTGTAACAGAGCTGTAGCAGTATCAGTCGATGAGTTCAAGTTGGAAGTAGTTTCTAATGGTATATTCATAAAGAATTTATCGAAAATATCTGCGACTTCATGTTTCGATTTTATTAGATTATTATTGATTTTAAGAACCATGCTATTTTCACGAGGCTTACACTTGCCACTTTCGCGCTTAATGACATCCCAAGTGGTCTTTATTTTATTATTAGATTTTTGAATTTTATCCCTAATAAAATTTGACTTTGCAGTATTACATATTCTTTTAAACAATTTGAAATATTTTCTAACATAGTTAATAAACTCAGGGTCCGGGTTATATTCTTTGATTCTATATAGCTCATACAGCCTTGTTCTACTCTTATATATACCACTTGTCGCCCAGTCACAGAATTGCAACCTCTGTGTACATTTAATGGTCGGTCTGAACGTATTTTGAAATTCATTATTTATTAAATCAAAAAGATTTTTGTACAAAATATCCGGATCATCATGCGTCCAAGGCATTAAAGGAAGTTTATCGCTAATGTTATTTTTAAAACTATTTACGCGCTCATTTGTTATAGGTCTACACTGCATTATATTCGGCTCAGTACTGACATTGAAACTGTATGTTGTCTTTAAACCGAGATGATCGGAAGTAATATCACTAAAGACTGACTTTACAATTGCATCCAACTCAGAAAAAAAGTTGTCTAAACAAGTGGCTGAGTGAGATGTTACTCTGGTTGGTTCAGTAAACTGGAAATTTAAATTAAAACATTTAAACAAGGTAATTAGCCGAAGACTTAAAGAGCTATTTTCAAGTAGATTGACATTAAAATCACCACATACTATTACAGATTTATTTTTTAATTTATTTAGTGAGTCTTCCATGACTGATTCAAATGTACCAAAGTTTCCTGAGGGGGGTATATAGTATACACATACTATATACAAATTTACTAACTCTACACACGACAGCTCAACATGGCGTTCCACTGAAAGGCTTACAATGTCCTTTCTCTCCTTACAGTTCACATGATCTTTTACAAAAATTAAAGACCCACCCTGAATAGCTATCGTGCGTACAAATGCACTGCATAGTTGAAAATTGTTTAAATAAAATGACATTTCATGTTGTTGCAGCCAGTGTTCAATTATGCACATGATATGAGTTTCATGACTTTTAGCTAATAATTCTAACTCTAAGTCTTTGCCGGCCAAGCCCTGGATATTTTGGTGAATAATATTGACACAATGGGGCTTAGCTTTTGTCATACGCTTCAGTTTAAATCTAAGGAGTTTATTGTAGAACTACAATTTATCAAAAGATTTGAATTAGTGCAAGTACTAATGTCACCTTTAAAAGAACTATTTACAAATTGTAAATTAAAAGCTAACAAATTAGCTAATTGTGTCTGAGATTTTTTTGTAAGATACATAGTATCTGAAGTCAGCTTAAAATTACTAATAAATCTATTAATGTCTAAAAGCAAAATGACGTCACTATGACGATTAATTAGATTAAACAAGTATGTATTTAAATCAAAAATGTGCTTATTTTCATCCCAGGTCAAGTTTTTAGCATAAGGGAAAGCACTGATCAATATTTTGCAGTCAGTTTCACGTTGTAACTTCAATAACACATTAAAAGAATTCAGTATGTCCCTTTTTCTAATGTCTGAGCTATCACCACATAAAATGATTAAGTTGGTTAAACTATCTACTTTTTGCGTTGTAGCATTATTTACAATTTCTTTAAATGATGGCCCAGGAAAGCATAAATTGTAAAATTTATTATTATATTTATCTACTATATAAAAATAAGTCAGGTTTTCCTTCCTGACGCTATAACTCCAGTACGCACGTACCGATTTCCAGGGTTTTGCATTCGTTGGAAAGGTCTCGGGCTCCGTGAGGTTTATAGCAAAGAAAATTCAGGAAAAATAAAAATAAATCTTCTTTTAATCACCAAACGAAATGTTACATAAAACGAAGCCATCTGGTGGTGAAACGGAGTTCGCCGGGTTTGCTAGTTACTAATAATAGATGAAAGTCCCTGACCTAATTTGTCAGAAAGCATGATAGTTTTTGATGAAAAGTTCTGTGAAAGCACTGGTTCAAACAATTTTTTGCTATAAGTGGTTTGTATTTTTGCATAGGCTGATGAATGACAGGAATTCTGTGTGATAACAATTTCTTTGTCTTTTCTAAACTCTTCATTTGAGATTTCCACTGGGTAATTATCTATATTTAACATTTACATTACAAAAAAAAGTCTACAACGCCGCTAAAAAAGTTTTCACTTCAAAAATTATTTATCCATTCTTGAATATCTAATGGTTCCCGACTGTTTAGTTAAGTATCTTTGTTCCTTACTTAACAGAATTGAAGACTTCTGGTCTTGTTTTTTTCTTTTCAGTTTTTATTTGAAATAATATTCAAGCAATCGGGTTTTTGATTTTTTAAATTAACCTTTTTTTATCTAATTAGTCTGCAGTCTGGTGATTTACGCGTTCCATACAAATACTGACTTAACATTTATGATTCAAGAGTTTTAAATGTGTTCACAATGCATGTTTTTAAAAAGTCTTGTTATATTAAGATTTGGCTTATAATGAAGTATTATGCAGGTACAATAACTTAAGTACAAAAATGGTAAAAAAAGCGTAAAAAAGAATTTTAGAAACCCTGATCTTTGTGTAAAGCTAGCGTCAATTAAGAACTAATCGAACACTCTGTACCACGCCTCACTCACACATTGTTTCTGAATTGATGTCCCTGTTGCACGTACGACAGGGCATCGTCGTTTTCGATTCGTTTCTTTATTGACGAATTTTTTGACATTGTGGGCGTAATCCCACGCCTCCACCTACAATGCGGAAAGATGGTGCTGCCTTGCAGCCTAAGAAATATTGGAAGAAATTAGACACGGTCATTAAGGTCGTGGTAGCATAATTATGATTGGTCAGTGTATCCGCCCGCGTAGCAGAGGGTGCCAGTTCGAGTCCCGTCTGCTTCCTGGACCGCGTGTTTTTTTTAGTAAAATTTTCTTAAGTGTAAAAATTGTTATTACTTTGCATTTTTACAAAATATTATTGTCATTCACAGATCGGCACTTACCTTCACGACTTTAAATCCACACACTGCGTCCCGCTATCAGAACAGCACTTCGAGGGCGTCATGGAAGCCATAACGGACATGGCTAAAGCTAAGGAATAAATTCATAATAATTATACCAGTAAAAGAAAAGCGGACGATTGATAGAGAGAACTGATCATTCCTTGCTCAGACATTTTTCAACCTCAAGTAAGCATTTGATATGCCCTTTTATACTATAGACAAGTGCAATTTATTGAACAATCTTTTTATTCTTATTCATTTCTATATTAATGATTTTACATATTAAAAATTGCTAGTTTCAATAAAAATAATTGGTTTGATCAATGTTACATTATTAAAACATGGTATGTAATTTATTGGGTGTAATGACACATCATTTCTAAGCTTTAAAACGAATATTTGAAAATATTTTTCGATGTAACATAAAATATACTTAATATTTTATGACATTGTTAGTTTTTGTTATTTACTGAATAATTTATAAATTTTAGATATTCAATTTTAGTGTTCAATGCATACCTAGGTAGCTGCACGTCATTTACAATCAGATATTATAGGTACACCTATTAATTTATTATATGCATGTCACAAGTATGAATGTCACTTGACTAATTTTAATTTAACTTAATATTTTAATTAAATTATGTGCATTTATTAAATTTTACAGTATGTTGCGTATTTTACCTTTGTTTATTCTTCTTATAACTACAAATTTATAACATATGTATGTCGTCTCGATGTTAGTACAGATAAGATTAATGTCAACTACAAATAAAATTACTTATTTTCATTTAAAAGAATCTGTATATCTCATATCAATTTAGGTGATTCGGTAATTCACAAATAGACAATGCGTTCAAATATTTTAAATGTGTTAGTGGACTTGCCGTTTGTGAATAAAATAGGTAGCTACCCATCTAACCAGTAAATAATCACAACAGACTTACTGCCACTCTCTGGGATGTCAATTAAGTTTAATGCTCGTTAAAATTCCGCGTTGTCTTATACTTCTACATCACATAATAAATGACAGCGTCAACTATAATCAAACTTAAAAAAATATTGGCATCTCAAGAGTGCGATTAAAAAGACTTTTCACTTATCAAAGCTACTATTTTCTCAAGGCATTAACTAAAATCTCTTTTTTTGAAATATTACAGCGTGCGCTGCCTGAAGCGGGGCACGGAGCGGGCGTCCGCTCGGCGTGATTGTTTCATGTTATTTCATAGAGCAGCACTGCGTGAGGCGGGTCTCTATGAAATGACATAAAAACTGCACGCCGAGCGGACGCCCGCTCCGTGCCCCGCTTTAGGCAGCGCACGCTCTTATAGATAGCGGCAAACTTATCCTATACTTCGTTAGCAAAAGCTCAGACAAATAAACTTGCACCCCCTTATTAATAAACGCGGAATAAGATTTGACTAGTTGTTTTGTTCCTATCACTCAAATGCCATTTGTCATTCAATGAACACAGACAAAACATGAAATAATAAATCCAAGCTTATTATTCATTTATTAATAAGGGGGGCACAGTAGATGTTTTTGTATATAAAGTTGCTAATGCGTAGGCTTCCTTGTCTATGGTCGATGCTCATGAAATTTTCCGGAATGTTTACCTTCTGTCATTTATGCAATCATGTGACAGTAGACCGAAATAAATACAGTAAGTTACCATCAAGCACCTGATTAAAGGTCAGCAATACGTTATAATGTTTCTTTCTTTGAGTATCTTAAGGTTTCTTTCTAGTATTAACAAAGCATGAGCATTAAAGAATCCCCGATTTTATAAAAATATGATTATCTTAGAAGTATGACATGCTTTAATTAATGGCATAATATAACTCATAGACATTATGAGACTACCGTTACATTGTATTGTGTGATCCTAATTGATTATTAAAAAAAAACTTGATATTTTGGCATGCATCTTTACACTCTTAATTTATATATAGCATTCAATGAAATTTTATTCCTGTTTACTTTTATTAACTTGTGCTATACTTATCCCACAATATTTTAACATTTTATTGAAAGTGTTTTCATGATATGAAATCTGTATAACTATTTTCAGTGTATTCACATAAATTTTAATTGAAGACGAAATTATTTATTTTGTTTTGAAAATGTAAAAAAGAATTTCAGTGCATTGGTGTTGGAATGTGTTAATCCAATATTTACTATGTGTAGAATTAAGATGGTAATTAAATAAAAGTCATGTATTATTTGTTTATTGCTATGCAACCCTGCCTGAAGACCTGGTTTAACCATTACCTTCATTTATTACATTATTTTAAAATCCTAATACAAGTTTAAGTTTAGTACCCAACGATATTAAATACCCTAGACCACGGAGCACCCCCACTAGAGTCCGCATACAAGGGCAAGCGCTTACGCCAAGCTTAAGTAGTATTTTACCTATGCGTGAGGCACGCCTACAGACGTCGCGATACATCGTTTCATTCGGTAACCGAGCGTTGGTCGAACTTATTTCATCGTATACAATAATAGATGTCATAAGTATACAACCAACAGTTTTTATTTGACTTCAAACATATCCTAATAAAATAGAAAAAACGCGAAAATTTGTATGCATATTTGTTACTCTTTCACGCTAAAACAGTTAAACGGATTTGTTTGAAATTAAGTGCGCATAGTTTATGACCTAGATAAAGACATAGAATTAACGATATTAAATACCCTAGATACACCACGAGCGCTCAAAATGTGTCCCAATCAAGAAGTGCTTGAACTCCACTCAAGCACTTCTTAGTACACAGTCACACGCGGACCGTTGAAAAGTCAAGATGCCAAAGAGTTCCGTGAAAAAATGCAGAAAAATACTAATAGTACGTAAAGTGTCGTTTTTTCGACGGGTATCTAATTAATGTTTTTTAATTAACGCCTTTAAAGCAAATTTTATTGTTGTAATACTTACTATAAACTGATTTAATTTAAAATATTTGTGATATTCAAATGCATGGTCGGTTATACGTCGCCCTTAGCCATCTCTTTTCTTCGCGGTCTGTACCTGCTATATTGCTAACAGCGCATTCAGAATTGCGCGTGAAAAGTAAAAAAAAATAAGGTCTATATTCTTTCACATATAACAATAAATAGTAAAATTTTACGAACTTGACGCATGCATTTTAATTAAGACCTTATGACGTATGCATTAAAGGTGACTTTCAATGTTTAAATAAGGCATTATATTGTTTTTGACCACGCGATCATCTTACGGACCTCCGTGGATCGTCCAATGTACCTTTTGGACACGTTTCGGCCACGATTTTGTTCGTGTTGTTGTATCTAGGGTAGTTAATATCGTTGCATTAATACTTCTTGTCCTGGACGTGTTTTTTTTTATGTTGCTTATATATAATTTAGTATGTAGTTACTAGTCGCGTCATGTAATTAGAACGCTGGAAGAAAGTGGAGAGGGTATGATTACGCATTTGCGCACCAAAGTACTAGGCCTCTATTCTAAATTTTTTATCGATAGAAAATATCGATATTTTCTAAAATCGATCTTACCCTCATCGCTTCGCTGCACTGAGTATATGATCTGACCTTGACGCGTCCAATCACAGCGGGGCTGACCTCCCTGCACCCCACCGACTTTGGCGATTTTGATTCCAAACAAAATTTGTGTGATGCGGACTCTAGTGGGGATGCTCCATGCCCTAGACACACCACGTGCGCTCAAAATGTGTCCCAATCAAGAAGTGCTTGAACTCCACTCAAGCACTTCTTGGCACGGATGTTTCGGTCACTACCTGTACCGTGCGGAGGAAACGCAGTGTCATTACTGCGGCACCCCGGACGCTACGGCGGCAGCAGCGTCGCGACCCGTCCCATGACTCTGGCCGCGGGGATACCTAGCTGGCCGGTACAGCGCATTGTGCCACGCGCGGGCCATCCTGCGCACGTCTGCGGGGTCCCCCTGCCGGGGAGCCCGGATAGGCCGGCAGGCTGCTGGGTGCGGAGACGCGGAAGAATCCCTAACGAGGATCCCGCGATTTCGCACTAAGCAGCTTAGAGGTTATTCTCAGGGTTTTTTAGCGGATATTATGCCGAGGTCCGTTCGGCGTTGTGCCTCTTAAAAATATTGGCAGATTCAGGAGCCAATTTGACGTCCTTAAAGCGACTAGGTGGTTGGAAATCGGACAAAGTTGCAGAAAGCTATATTGGTGATAAATTAAACAACAAACTAGAAACTGGGGGCCGTCGTCTGTAAATAGAGGTTTTACTTGCGTCACAAAAAAAAGGGTATTCAATATCGTAAGTAGGTACCATTAAATGAAATAAGTGTGACATCAATATTCAATACTCTGTTTATTTAAGTAGGTACAATGTAGGTAGTAGTTACGTGCCCGAGGACGCTCTGGTGTAGTGACGCACGTAGGTGCGCCGATCCCAGAGCGCCCTCATAAGGGCCGAGGAGGGTACCGGTGGTTTTTAGTGGGTAGCACCGGCGTTGTTCCGCGCCGGGGGGTCCCACACACGTCGCGCGCGGTATGGTGCTTAAATGCATTTTTAATACAGTTGCTCAAAAAGTGGCGTATTGCAGGGACGTGTAGCGTTCGGGATCTGGGCTATTTCATACTCGTGCTTTTTTTTTTTGGCTTTCCCGAACTCGTGCGTTTTCTTTCCCAACTGTCAAAATTATTTCTATTAAAAAAAACAAGAAAAAAGCGCGGGAACGTTTGACGAGCTTGGCGGTCTTTTTTAAAGAATAAAACTAAATTTATTAATTTTGTATATATTTATTGTGAATAGTGTTTTGAATAGTCTTTAATAATAAGTGTGTACATAGTGTATTAAAAAAAATGAGGAATAGGAAGAGTAGAAAAAGGAAAAAACAATTAGATGAACAAGGCGGCGTGGATGGAGATGGCTCTGAAGATTCTAACTTTAGCGACGTCTCCTCCATACAGTCTCTAGAAGAGAAAAAAGAAAGCTTAAACAAATATAAAGATTTCCGAATCCCTAATTACGTTCGATTTTACCCAGAACAAGGCGGAAGTTTCGAATATGTGGTATTCATTGAGAGTACAAAATCTGATCAGCCTATTGGTAATCGAGACATGATGGGATTAGCAAACTGCTTGAAGCGATATAACAAAGGTGTAAAACAGTTGCGAAGAGTGAATAAATATAAAATCGGTGTGGTATTTGAACGTCCTGGTCTGGCTAACGCGGCATTACAGAATAGAAAATTCTTGGAAGCATACAACCTGTCGGCATCTATTCCGGCAGCAGCTAGCGAAGTCACAGGTGTCATCACTCATGTGCCCACAGAATTATCGAATGAACAAATATACTCTGCATTGACTTCTACAAAAAATATCGTAAGCATTCGACGTTTTATGAGAAGAATAAGGACTGATAATGGTGAAAATAAATTGGAGCCGACAAAGACAGTTTCTATCACATTTTCATGCCCAGTATTACCTGAGAGTGTCGACCTCAACAGCTGGCGTTTCGAATTACGACCCTACATACCCCCAGTCAAGCAGTGTCTTAAGTGCCTGAGGTATGGACATATTGCCAAATTTTGTAAGAATGCAGAACGATGCTCCATATGTGGTGAGTCACATAACTTTAAACTCTGTACAAAATCAAGTCAGGATGCTGTATGTTGTCATTGCAAGGGGAACCATGTGGCTATTTCGTCACAGTGCCCTGTAAAAAAAGAAAAAATATTATTAAATAGAGAAAAGGCTCAGAATAAAACATACTCTGCTGTAATTAATGAGAAATCATTCCCTCCCTTGAAACAAAGCCCCACTGATATGCTAGCATTGCTATTAAACTCTGATTTTATTTTGAATATGGTTGTAGAGTCAATTGTCAAATTAATAACAATGAACAAAAACAATGAAACAGCTATTTCCACACAGAGTATAAAAGATACTCTCTTGGAAACAATAAATAAAAATAAGAAACAAAACAATCTTTTTTTTTTATGGATTTTTTAAATATAATGCAATGGAATGCTCAGAGTTTACCTGCACACAGATACTTATTAACAAATTTTCTACAAGAGAATCAGATTCATGTAGCTTTGATTTCTGAGACATGGTTAAAACCACACATTCAGTTTACTCTCAAAAGTTATGATATAATCAGACTAGATTCAGGTAACCGCCATAATGGCGTTGCCATTTTTA